TAGCGTGCCCAAGAGACTTGGATAAGCAGATATTACTTTCATCATTTATATTAAAACTATATGTTAATATATGGATACTTAAACAATACTTACCAAAGGGACATTAATGAGATATTGCGGAGAAAAACTTTGTACACTAATTAATACCATTAATAATTCATGTTAGATATATGGGGAATCTAGGCTCATGAAAAAAAAAAAAATGATATATGGGGAAATGTACTTCCCTAATCGGGTATGTACTTTTTAAGGCCTAAACTTTTGTTATTTAAATTTTTGTTTTGCCTCGTTACTTTTTACTATTTACTTATCATTTTAGACTTTTTTTTTTTCTTTTTGACAATTTCTTATGATTTTAGATTAAGCGCTTGTTTTTAGAAGTCTTTTTAAATTTTCATTTTAAGTGTTGTTTAATATATTCATAATTTTTTAATTTAAGAGAGTGATTCAATGATTTAAAATTTGAAATTTGAAATTAAAAATTTGAAATTTAAATTTTAAATCAAGTGAAAAGTGATTTAAAGAATGAAAAGATTATTTTTTATTTTTTTATTTTTTATTCTTATTATCTATAATTTTTTTGTACATCAAAAAACCTAATTATTTCATATAAAAAAATTTAAATCTCTAATCTTGATCTTAAGTTAAAATTTTTAGGTTATTATCTAAAACATATGATGATTGCCTAAAGTCTCTTAAGGTTATTAAATAATTCGGCAATATTGTAAGTAAAGTATTTTTTTTTATAGGGGTAAGTGGTAACGCTTTGTGCAATATGATGTCCTTGGATCTCTGAATGCCCATTGTTTCATGCGTGATTATCAAATAAAATAAAAAGGTACATATAAAATGGGGGTTTTGATTTTTCAATTCAATTTGTAAAAAGAAATGTAAAAATGCATATAAATTAATTAAACAATCTTAATGACGTAAGTCAAGCTCAACAACACTTTCTTATTATGAGACATACCTTATGTTTAATTTTGATGGCTTAATTTTTCATTTAGAATTAAATTTAATTGTCTATTTTTTCTTTTAAGTTTAAAATATTATTTAATAAATTTATTTATATTTTAATTTTATTTTAAAAATAATTATAATATTAAATAAAGAGACTTATTTATATAATAATTGATTAAAAATAAATGTAAATTTTAATTATTAATCATTACATCCTATTTTATTAAAAAAAAAGAACTAAACATTAAGTATGCAGGGGGTACTATAATGCATAAACTATTATTAAAAAATGTTTCCTATTTTTATTTATAATTAATTTTTAAAAATAATTTAGTGATTTTAACCTTGTTTAATCCACTCATTAAAGTTATTAAATTAGTTTATAACCTTATATTATATCATTTTACTTGGAAAAAACCCTTTTTAAATCCATTAACTACTTATATTTTTCATTTTTTATTTTACTTGTAATATTCTCTTTTTATTTTTTGATTAATTAGTTGTAATATTCTTAATTAATAGTAAGAGGTTTTGTATTTAAATTGGGTAAATGAAAATTATAAATAAATAATAATAAATCTTTATAAATTTCATAAATGGACCCTACAAAAAGGAAAAAAGTGAAGGAAAAGTAGTACTCCTTTCCCTCTTTTTAGGCACCAACTCATACACACCCACTCCATTGCCTATTCTCCAAAAACTCATACACAACCCACAAAATCCATAATCCCCATTAAAGCCTCCCTCTCTCCGTCCCAATAAGAATCCCCGTTTCTCACTCACCACCCCTTCATGTTTTCTCTCTCTACAAGCCCCTGGAGAGAGTTGCATCATTCAATTTCACAAAAGTTCTTTCTTTTTGCCGATTGATTTCTCTAATTCCCTCACCTTCTTCTTCTTGTTCTTCCTCTGTCATCTTCATCATCCCACACTTTTTTCTCTTCTCTATTTTCATTGCAAATCTCAATATCTCTGCAGACCAAAAAATTGAATCTTTCCTATCTGGGCGTTTCAGTTTCTTGTTTATTAACTCTGAATTTGATCGGGTTTAATAAAGTAAATTAGGCAGAAAAGGAATGTACTGCCTGCAAAAGAAGTTTCCTATGGATTGTCTGATTTCCCCTGTTTTTAATTGATTTCATTTTTAATGAAACTCCAACAATCCAGCTCATTTTGATCCGGATGTTCTTTTAATTTATTCACCTAATCCAAATCTAATAAATCCATTTCTGTTTTGATTGTTTTGGGGTTTGTGGGTTTGTTGGTGGGTGAGATTTTGTGTTTGGGATTGGAATTTCGGATGAAATGGGTTGCGGGACCTCCAGGCAAAGGCGGTGCCGGCAATGCAACGCACCGTATTCTCCGGTTCAGAGGTGCTATTCAGTGAACGTCCACCACCCGGCGGAGCGCCGCGGCGATGGTTACCATGTGGTGGCATTGAAGTCGTCCACGTTGGGGACGCTCAAGATAGATACAAACAAGAAGAAGAATCACATTGATGGTGGGTGCGGTGTTGTCGGTAATGGGAATCGTCACGAGGGAAATAGTAAAATCAATGGCGACGTACAGGACCCAGATGAGAAGAGAAAAGGGCTTCCGGCAGAGGTTATTGAGGCGAAAGTTTGGTCGAAGATGATAGAAGAGAAAATCCCAAAAGTAGTGCCGAAAACGCCGGTCAGAACTCCTCCCGGTGAGCCAGAGACGATAAACGCATGGGAATTGATGGAGGGTCTGGAAGATGTCAGTCCACTCCGATCGCCAAATCATTTGCGATGTTTCTCTTTCGATGTAGTCAGGAGTCCGTCGCCGGTTCCATGCCATCACGAGAAATCAAAAAACCCGGAGAGCGGCAAGGTGTCACCAACACCCATGTGGCTTCAAATGGGTGATGACGATCAGAATTACTCGAGCCCGGAATTTGATCCGGAAGTCATTGCATCGTTCAAGGAATCCCTCCAAGAGCTTTCCCCGGAAAACCCATTCCATCTCCGGCAGCTCCCGCCTGAGAATGAGAAAGTACACAAAATCAACGGCTTCCAATCTGATCGGAAAGGTGGCAGGAAGACAGTTATCTTCTACTTCACGAGTCTCCGAGGGATCCGAAAAACATACGAAGATTGCTGCCATGTCAGGATGATCCTAAAAGGCTTAGGCATCCGTGTCGACGAACGAGACGTCTCTATGCATTCCGGCTTCAAGGAAGAGCTGAAAGAGCTAATGGGAGATGGGTTCAGGGCCGGTTTGCCAAGGGTGTTCGTGGGAAACAAGTACATTGGCGGAGCTGAGGAGATACAGCGGCTGCACGAGGAAGGTCAGCTAGAAAAGCTCCTTGAAGGGTGTGAAACGGTGGATGACGGGGACAGAGGCAGTGGAGGAGCTTGCGAGGCTTGTGGGGATATCCGGTTTGTTCCCTGTGAAACCTGTTCCGGAAGCTGCAAGGTATTCTACGAAGGAGATGAGGAGGAAGAACAAGAGGACGAAGGTGAGTATGGCTTCCAACGATGTCCTGATTGTAATGAAAATGGATTAATACGGTGTCCAGTTTGCTGCTATTAGGCTATAAACAGTTCTCAGAAAAGAAGATAAAAAAAATTAATCCTTTTTGATCTTTTGATTTTTGTTCTTTATTTTCCTGGGTTGTTTGATGTACAGTATAGTAAGAACCAAGAGGTTTCTGGAGGTTTAAAAAACAGAGGAAAACAGGGGATAATATGTTATAAATGATTAATGGCTGTATACAGAGGAAACAGGGGAGTATGTTTCTTTGTAAAACAGAGACTGTTGTATACCCAAATTCCTTCATTTACCATGAAGAACATACATAGCCTAAACATCCATTTTTAGCTTGTTTGTTCTCCTCTTTCTTCTTTAATCTTGCACATTATGCACTTTCTTTTTCTTGGGTTTAACTCATGCAAAGAAAACGAACTCAAATGAGACCCATGTTCTTTTTTGTACTTTAATTTCATAATGAGAAGGGTTTTAGACTTTTAGTTGAATGATTCAACTATCTTGAGACGGTGATGAGCCGACTTCTCTTTTGGAATATAGAAATCTCTCTGTAGCTTTGGCTACTTCTATTAATAATTGTTGCATGTCTAAAAGTAAGAAAGACCGGGAAGGATGAAATTTCCACGCTAATTGGATGAAGATTGGGGAAAAGGGCAACGTGAATCCATTTTTCTTTGGTCCAAGTGAAGGAGAAAGCAAAAGTAGTGGCCACCGTCAATGCTTTTTCCAGGTCTCCCTCCAATAGGGTCGTTTTCCTTTTGAGAGCTACACATCAACTTTATAACAGCATTGAAAATTTCCTACCCATCAAAAAAGACTGCATATCAACACTTTATTCAATTCTCACTTGAATTCGAAGAAACACTAAAAGCCTACATCAAGAGAGATGAGGGTAGGAATATATATATATATATATATATATATTTTAATTCCACCTCCGTCTTTATGAGGCCTATCCAACAGTTAGATCATGAGATTTTCACGTTAGGATGAAAATGACCCGCGAGCAGCAGATACGCAACAGTGGGGAAATGAGAAAATTGACCTCAATCATACTTGTTAATTAGATATATCAATGATTAGATTATGCAATTGGGAGCTTAAAAATACGAATAGTCAAATTTCTTTGAAAAATTATGCAGTGTAGATTGTGTGAGATTCTCATGACATTAACGAAGGACACATGGACTAAAAGACACTCAGGCTAATGCAATTTACTAATGCATACCAAAGAAGACATCTTTCTCTTAGGGCCTAAATAGGCCCTATACCCAGGAAAAATAAATGAGAAAATGGTGAACTGCAAAAACTTGTGTTAAATAATTAAATAATCAATCATGTTTAGGTTTTGGGTTGGGCAGAGGTAGATAGAAGGGCGATTAAGTGTGCAAAAGGGATTTGAAATCTTGCACCTGCGCTATTAATGGCTTCACAAAACAGTTTCATTAATTTGAGGGCAAAAATAAATAAAAAGGACCCATATCTAAGCATAGCAGCTTGTGTTTAATGGTTGTGTGTGTAGCCATAATTAGGGCTATCTGTTTGTTTTATTGAAGAGCAAAAAACATGGAGAGGAAATGGTGATTAAGTGATGTTAGGTTGTTCGTTTTGTGTTTGTGTTTGTGTTTTCTCTATGAAATGTAATGATTAAAGGTTGGAATATGAAGCGGAGGAAAACGGATTCCAGACTAAATGCTTAATCAGTCTTTCTTTGGGAGCAAGCTTAAGAGACGATGCCATAAATCAATACATAATGGGTGTATTTAATGTGGAGGGATAAATGGGCTTACTGAGACATCAGGAGGTTTGAGATTCCAATTTTGAAAATGACTAGATATATTTATGTAAAGTTAGATCCCAAACTCAAAGGAATAATATTAATATTTATAGGTTCATTGCTCGTGGTTGTTTAGTATGGGAATTTATCAAATTGGTTGGTTGAAAGGAAAAGGTAAGGGGGCATTAAGAAAATTAGATGGCAGTTGATGGAAGACCAGATGCAGCAATTCTTAATAAATGTGAAAGTTACATAAGTTTCAACCAGGAACTAAAGCAGTTCCTTGCTTTTATTTTGTCAAATATCAATCTCACTACTAACGTAAAAGATAATGTTGTGCGGTAAGCCAATAAGCGCAAACACCGTTTTGATTCAGCAGCTTCAATAGGTCATCATGGACCCCAAAACTCTTTGTTCATTTTTGTGTTTACCTAGTAGGAGCAGAGAAGGAACAAGATTGCGCATTCAGCGGAACGGAACAAAGCTGAAAATGGGAACGAGTCAAGTCATCTAAGACAATGAAGACAAAAAAACATCAGCTCCAGTCCATAGAAGATAAAACCAAGTCACTCTTAAACATGGGAATGCTTGAAAAACGATATCAGGTCCTCTAAGACATTTCTGTGATAAGTTTATGCCCAAAATTGGGCCCAGGAGATCCACTTCTTGACAAAGTTTGACAACTAAGTTTCTATTTGTTTACTTCCATGCATGGGCCAAAACACTGGAAACCCAGATAGCACCCTAGGCAAAGTACTTGCCACGGACCACAGCAGTAACAGCTGCTTTGGCAGTTCTACCAGTAATCGCTGCGGTTGTTACGGCTGCACTATGGTAGCTGATTTGGTGATTTAAACAGCGTCCATTCCAGTGTTAATCTTGTCAGTGAGCCTGATTCTGTTGCTAAGTTCTGCTGCTGTAGCTGAAACTTAATTGATGGGACTCGTCAAAGGCTTTGGCCTTGGTTAATGCATTCTTGTCTAGAATATATCCCTTGGCTATGATGACATTGACAATTTCCTAAGCCACTGTGACTGTTTCTCCAGGAGTAGAAATGAATTGGTTTGCAAGAACGACCTGCTGATATAAAGGATGGGGTAGCTCAGATGAACCAAAAGCATTATAAATGTGAAACTAAAATACCAAGTGCCATTTCACATTTACATGCAGAATAAGAATGCAGTGTACTGAGTTATCATATATGAAGGATTGCAAAAATGGCTAGAGAACATTTACATACTTTGCCAACTACCCCATTTTGTGATGTTTTCTAGATTTTGTTCTTCACAAATTGAAAGCATACCATTAATCTGTGAATTTATACTTGCAGGAGGGCCAATTATACAGCCTTGCCCTCCAATACAGTAGTTACTTAAAGCAAAATGAGTAAATATTGAATTCATAATATCGCACTTGGATTTGGCACTAAGGGCAACAATTAGTAATCGAAGATAATTGTATATAATGGAGTTTGGGTAACAAAAGAACAACGAACTTGCTCTCCCACTAGAGTAAATAAAGGCATACTGTTGTGCTAGTATCCTCTTGAATCATCTATGAAGGACCATCCCAAGGATGCAGCATTATATGCATACATATTGATCAACTATGTTAGCTCCCTGGGATGTCAAAACAGGACAAAATGAGCAAAACAACAGCTGCACATAATATCAGGTGGGCGTGGACTAGAAGATTAAGAAGATTCCTCAACAGATCCATTATGATCAACTATGGTGGCTCCCTGAGCTATCAAAACAGGACAAAATGAGCAAAACAACAGCTGCACATAATTTCAGGTAGGCGGCAGACTAAAAGATTAAGAAGATTCCTCAATAGATCCATCATGATGATTTCAGTTGTCCATATTCTATATCAATCTGCATAATTGCCAATTTCCTTGAATAGTGTCCAGGATATCCAGAAGAAATACTAAATTATTTTTGGACATACAAGATGGTAAAAGGCCTAATGTTTATTTATTTTGTTATGCTAAAGTCTAACAACAGACATGAGAATAGCAATCTTGCTTGAACTCTTACTTAGGAATTCAACAAGTCAGCAACATGAATTTCAAGACATAATTAAAGATACATCTTGATACATGTGAGAAATGTAATCATCAAATTACCAACAACATAAATATCATGGATTAAAGCTATCCACTTAGAATAGACCACTGGCTTCTAAATATATTCTCTATCATAATGAGTAGTCATTTTTTGTTTCCAAGAATATGAATGGCAACCTATACTGAGCAACATAGCAGTTTTGAGAGCGTAAGCATTGTTGAATGTCACACAAGCAGTACATGTGCATCCTCCCACATCTGTTCTATGAAAAAAGGCACAGCTTTCTTGGTGATCAATTAGTCTACATAGAGCACTAAATCCAAACAAAATCATGACAGGACCACCATCCTGGTGATCAATTGAAGTATATACTCAATTTTGGAAACTAGAAGTGGAGTCAAGAGATAGTACCTGATGATTAATTTCAACATGCTAAATTGCACCATAGTACCTGATGATTAATTTCAACATGCTGAATTGCGCCACATTAAGCAAAAAAGTCAAACACCTTTCTCAGTAGCTTTTGTAGATAGGCTTGTGAATTTAGCAGCATAACTGCCAGCGTACGTTGTCTTTGGAATTCCACAAAAACAAAGCCAGACCAATCAAATTAAAGCATGGAATTTGAAAAGAGACTGTTAATGAAGCTTGGTAATGTAGATCAGCCAATTGATCAAGGTAGCTTGGTAACGTAGATGCCATCTTTTCTCACCCAGCACTTTATAATGCGGAGACTGTTACAATCCATAAAGAAGGCCATTTCTTTTTGAAGGAAGAGCTGAGTATAAGGAATGTCAAAAAGAGATGGCAGATATTATCATCTTGGGGCAGCCTTACCCATATGTAATGATCCTGAGGTCGATAATCTCTCTGTGGCCCCTCCCTCATATCAATACTTGTATAGGAAAAAAATGAAACCAGAAATACTGTATGCTTCCAAACATTAAACCGCAGTACACCGTCGATCTAATTGCTAGCTCAATTTTTGTAATCTACACTAGCCTCATCCCAATGTCAGTACAAGGCCACAGCTATGTAATTGTAGATAAATTCTGAGATCCAATGCATTATTCAGTAAGTTCATAGTGTGCTGATATTTGCGAATACATTAAGATCTGACTAAATACAACATAATAAGTTCCGAGTTCAGGTCAAAAGGAAGGGCCTTGGAGCCATCATATAATATTATAATGTACTGCATACATATACAATCTCTGACCAAAAAAGCTAAACTAACTTCTATTCTAAGGAACAATGCAAGTCAAAAACAAGCGTGAAGCAGAATTTTTTGAACTTTTTGGCTAAAGTGCAGGGAAGGGCGTGACTTACATTAAACAATTCAATTCATAGAAGTGACCAACACAAATAAAAAGCCCCTTTATTCAAGTAATCTTCGGGGGAGAGACAAAGCAATTCTCATGATTCTACATGGGAAAAGGGTTACCTAGAAGAGGAAAATCAGGAGAAAGAAGACAATCAACAATAGGATGACTATAAATATACTTAATTAGATAGAACGAACTAAACCGTACAAGAAATCATGCTCTCTAAAGGAATTAAGTAAAGCCCGGAATTTGCATTTCCACAAACACTTTTCAAACTGAATGGTCAATGTATTATGGTTCACCCCTACAAAATCGAGATCCCGGAAAGAATAAAAACTGAGAATATAACAATGCAATTACCTTTACTCAACAATCTCTATAGAAATCAAGAACCTAGAATCCAGATTACAGAACTAAGTATAATAAACTTGAATGGGAAAGACAAGGGTCAGTACTTAATAGGTGATTGATGCTTTGCCTACCTGTTCTTGATGAGATGATGAAGCGCTGAAGCGAGAGGAGGAAGATGGACTACTGACATTGCTAGCCAAGTGAACCTTCCAGATAGCTCAAATCCCACGAGCGGTTGAGCGGTGTGGGAAACACGATTTC